CATCAGCTTGGCATAAGCCTCCCCAGTAATCCTTTTTAAAGCCGGATTTTTCCCCGTCCATGACGGACATCGTCGGATCCATAGAAATCCTGACAAATCGTTTGGCCACAGTCATAAGCAATCCGTCACACTAATTCAATATGGAAGACTTCTACCACTGCATAAGACTCTCCCCCGAGCTCATGAAACTCCTAAGAGTTAGAACCACGTCAATCCGGACTAACAATCGTTTACCTACCGCATTAAACTAGATCCGACTGTGTTGTTTGCAGCGGTACGTCAAATTACACTTAGACAAATCCCATACACAAGGTGGGAAAATTATTTAGAAGGACTCTCATCCTCTCACCAAGTGTACTGGCGTCTCGCGACAACTCACAAATCGGAAACTAACGCTCATATACCCACTGGTACGCCCTTCAGGTCCACCCCTTGCTTCCGATGACGATAACAAGCCCGACTCACCACTTATTTCCTCCCGCATTAGCAGGAGAAATATCACATCCCCGATCACCCTCTTCGGCCAATCTAAGCCCTGGGCCAGGAAAGTCAAGTACCTGGGAGTCACCCTGGATGCATCCATGACATTCGGCCCGCATATAAAAACAGTCCGCGACCGTGCCGCATTTATTCTCGGCAGACTCTATCCCATGATCTGTCAGCGGAGTAAAATGTCTCTTCGGAACAAGGTGACACTTTACGAAGCTTGCATAAGGCCCGTCATCATCTACGCGAGTGTGGTGATCACTCTCGTGGCCCACACACACATAGACACCCTCCAATCCCTACAATCCCGCTTTTGCAGGTTAGCCGTTGGGGCTCCGTGGTTCGTGAGGAACGTTGACCTACACGACGACCTGGGCCTCGAATCAGTCCAGAAATACATGAAGTCAGCGTCGGAACGGTACTTCGATAAGGTTATGCGTCATGATAATCGCCTTATCGTTGCCGCCGCTGACTACTTCCCGAATCCTGATCATGCAGGAGCCAGTCACCGTCGACGCCCTAGACACGTCCTTACGGATCCATCAGATCCAATAACCATTGCATTAGAGTCTTCAGGTCTAGCACTAGCAACGGTAACCGTATTCGTCGAACTCGATAAAGAGGTCGACGTGCAACCTAACCCATACATCAGCCCGTTGAGTTTCTCGCCGGATCTTATCAGCGGGTCGCGATTCCGATCCGCTAGTAGATTCATTCGCGAAGCAATTGCTCTTGAGCTGTTAGGTTTCCTTCAGAGGCGCTCAGGCAAATCCCACCCCTCCTGGCTGAGCCTTTGCTCGCGCACCAGTCCTGGTGAAACTGGAAACGCCTCCGGGCCACCAGTAATCTTTCAATCATAAAAAAAACACAAGCTCGAGTAACTGGCACGAGCTTCGAGTTCTTATATTTCTACCTCGTCTACTACTTCCTACTCGAGTAGGAATATGTCTTTCATGCACAGTAAACTCCAGATCGTAGACACCAATTTAGGTCAGTGATTCAGGAAGTAGCGCAACGAAATGAACCTCATGAAAAGCACAGCTGCGCTCTTCAAAAGGGATCACCCACACGACCTCACGACCCGACACGACTACTAATATCTGATCCAAAATTAGGCGTGGTTAGGTAGGTAAGGTGGTAAAATAAAAATCTTTGGTATCTACCACCCTCGACAGAGGGATGACGTTCGGTCCTTACATTAGGCACGTGACCGAGCCGCGTTCCTATTTGCTTGACTCTACCCAATGATTTGCAAGCGAAGTAAATTATCCCCTCGTAACAAAATTATACTCTAATACGTTCCATCATGACCTATGCAAGTGAAGAATTGATTCAAGAGGTCCGTTTCCTCAGAAACTCTCCCCAGATCATCTAATCTCATTTTTGCAGGATAACCGTCAGAGCACCTCGATACATGAAGAATGTCGATATCACGACGACTTAAATTTACAACTGACATTTAGAACCTTAAGCGTCAGAACTGTTCTTCGACAAAGTGGCGCAACGCGTTGAACCTCTAATCGTAGCTGCTACTAATTACATATCTGACCTTGGCGACTGGTAACGAAAGTCGCCGTCGCCGAAACATGCCTTGTCAGATCCCCGGATCTACTCTCGGGGACTCTTCAAACACCGGACACCGTCGTACTCGTCGATTATGATATTCGTCAATTATCAGTGGGTCGCAATTAAAACCCAGTGGTACATTCTGCGAAGCACTGCTCTTGCTAAGGCCAGTGTTAACCAGACGTAGTATAGCTGAAATAGCCCCTTAGGCTACCAACAAATAAGTTGGAAAAAAAATCAAATGTTTTCGTTTTAAGGCTAAGACATCCACAACACGATTAGCCTTCGACCAAATGTTTCTTTGTGTATGGTAGCATTTTGTGTGATATATTTGTTCATCTATAATTTAGTATCACAAAAAAAAAAGCAAGGGCAAATCACAAAAACTAGTCAAACCTTATTACTCGTACTTAAAAGAGTTCACATTAATCGACTATGTAAACTATTCATTTAAAAGAATTCACTCACAGTTGTGAGTTTGATGTGTGATTTGACCAAGATATCATACGTGATCAAGATTCCGTTATCCAAATCAAGTTTCACGTCAGCGCAATCTCTTCTTCTTGGTCCTTTACATTTCTCGAAACGACTTGTGGCGAATGAAATGGGTCCCTGAAACAAATATCCGTAAACGTTTTAGGATAAAATTATATTTCTGATTCGACTTACGAGCTTTATAAAGCTCGGGCCTGAATGCAGGCGTAAACAATGAATAGATTGAAACGAAACAAATTCTAAGCAAATTCAAAAAATAGCTTTGAAACATCTTTGAAAATTNCCTTTACATTTCTCGAAACGACTTGTGGCGAATGAAATGGGTCCCTGAAACAAATATCCGTAAACGTTTTAGGATAAAATTATATTTCTGATTCGACTTACGAGCTTTATAAAGCTCGGGCCTGAATGCAGGCGTAAACAATGAATAGATTGAAACGAAACAAATTCTAAGCAAATTCAAAAAATAGCTTTGAAACATCATTGAAAATTAAGTACATTAATTGATCTTTTCACTCATTGTTTAATTGGAAGTGACTATTGACAAATAAATACAAACAGAGACAGTAGACTTAGTTTTTATTTATAAATGCACTTTTACTGATGATAATACAATAATTTCTATTACTCTGACCAAGAGCGACCAGATCAGGAGATCTGGATGTTAGAAGGCCAAATTATTGAATATAATTAGTTAAATTAAACTTTGATAATTAAAACATATCAAGGCGATAAAAAAATACTTATAGTTAGTTTTAAAAGCATCTTTCTTGCTTTTAAATAATTAATTAGATATATATTTTGTTTAGCGAAAATAGTATTTAAACAAATTAAGTGGGATAATTACATTAAAGTTTGGGGTGCTGTACAGGGAAGAAAGTCTAAGTTTTCCTCCCTGGGTACTGACAAGTGCGCATGCGCGTTAGTGTCTACGTCTGCTCTCACGCATCTAAAATTCTCCGCCATTGTTGTGCTCGGGTAATTTGCAATATTGTGTTTAGTGTAAAAGTGAAATAAACAAAAGGCAATAAAATTTAATAGCGAAGTATTAAACAAAGTTGAGTTCATCAGACAGGTCTTTTTCAATTAGTAGTAGTTTATTTAAAAAATAAAAAGACAGTTAAATTGTTTTTTTTATGAGTGGAGGGCTAAGTACCCCCACCCCCCTCCGGGGCTTCGCCTCTGGACCCCGGCTCGGTACTCCATGGGTGCTAAGTTTTTTACAATGTCGAATTTTCGGCCTGGTAGGAGAAAAAATGGTATGTGCAACGCGGGAAAAAAGTAGGACATCTCATGTGTAAAATTAAACATAAATAGAACGTAAGCGTAAATAAAACACGCGGGAGGAAATGTCCAACTTCTCATCCTTGGTGCACAATGACTATTTTTGCAGAAAAAAAAGCAAACTCACGTAATCAGGTTTTGGGTTTGCCGATGTCAAGACGGAGATAATAATAAATGTTAAACTCCATATATGTTGCATAATGTTCATTAAAGCTAAAATCTAGATTAAAAGTTCCAATATTGAAAGGCTTGTGTCTATTTCAAATGATAGACATACTATAGTTAATCTGTGTTCTTGAACAAAAATCAATGCACTCAATCAAATATGCCTTGATTGTTCTCGCTTTTTTTAATTTTCTGATCGTTGATTTATTTATCTATCGAAATTAAACCTATATCCTACACCCACTTTGTTTTGCTCAAAACGCTATACAAAACTGAGCGTTGAATTTGATTATTATCGTTATAGTAGAGTAGAGCATACTTTATTGTACACTAAAAATCACGTTGTGAACGTAATCTCATAATAATGCAAAAGTTAATGGAGTTGTCATCATCATCATCATCATCAGCCTTTATCTGCCCACTGCTGGACATAGGCCTTCCCCTACGCCTTCCACGTAATGCAGTCCTCCGCCTTCCGCATCCAACGACTTCACGCCGTGCGCACTAAGTTGTCAGTCCACCTGGTTGGAGGACGCCCCACGCTCCTTGTACACATCCGTGGCCTCCATTCGAGGACTTTCCTCCCCCAATGGAGTTGCACATTGTTAATTATTGCCGAATTTTTAAGCTACTAATAAGGAGTTTCAGGCTACCCTTCTGTTCGAAATGAAACTATTTATGACAATCTTATGCCGGCAATCATTAATGAGCATGGGCCGTATAGCCCGTGGCTATTACGAGTTCGTGCGGATTTCACAAATTGCTCCATGAACTTTAAACATGATCAATGAGGGTTTTATATCAGTACAAGTTCCCTTTTCTTAAGTGGGATTCAAATTACATATCATGTTTGATTTTGGCATAAGCTAACCGGCTTGAGATAGTAAATCCTGTGTTCTAATCTACGTAGCTCCTATGCGTGTGAAGTTTAGTTTCCACGACCAAATATTCTTATGTTTTATTTCTTTCCGTTTGTATTTTTCGTCAAATTAGTTTTGTAAGGTTCAGTGTACCCAGGCCTCCTCTGAACGGACCAAAACAACATCATAGCCATTTACCATATACAAGTCACGCCTAGTTACTTCAGTAAGTACATGATAATGGTTCAATGGGAGTATAATGATCTAAAATGCTTGAAGGAAAGTGGTTAATAGCGAGACATAAAAGCTCATTAGAGAACGAAGGTTCCCAGTTTTTTAGCTAAATTTAAAAATAGTACTTAACATTAAGCTTATTATTATTTATTCTTTATTTGTACACACTGTTAATATAATACAGTAATTGCGATAAGATATAAAAAATGGCGAGCTTAACTCAACAATTGAGTTATCTACCAGCTAACCGTTCTCAAAGAAGGAAAGCTTTACATGAGTGGGTAGATGAGTACAATCTAATTAATTTAATTATTTATACTATAGACATTAACAATAAAAATAATAANTCAATCTTACTGCGTTTATTATCCGGGAGAAGGACGATTATTTTCCCATCTGTTGTCCAGCAGCGCTTAACGCCAAAATGAGAGCGGGCCTCCAGAAAGACATCATGACGTGATTTGGTCAAAAATTCTGAAATGATGACCTTAGATCCCTTCAGGAGTGTCTTGTTCTTCCATACTTCATTGCATCGCCTCAGACTCAAGAACCTGACTAATATAGGCCTAGGCTTACTGGTGTTGGAGCCTAATCGATAGCAAGCAGTTAAATCCTCTTCTGTGCATCCAGTCAACTTCATTTGGTTGGTTAATATACCCACAATTGCTGTTTCTGGGTCTGTGGCATCTGACTCCGGGATTCCATGAAACAGAAGGACCTTACGACGCGATGCCATCTCATGCCTGTCCAACCCCAAGAGAACAAGCTCCATCTGTGACCTCAGCATATTGAGTGTTTGTAGTGTGAGATTCCGGAATGCAATGAAATCTTGTGATAACTTGCCTAGGTCCGTGTGTGGTGACTGGTGACTGCTCAGCATTGCTTCAAACTCGGTCATCCGCTGCACAACGCTTGATTCCACGTCTTGTAACTTAGTGTACAGATCCATGATGTGGCGCTATTGATGATATGGCAGTAGTGATGATGTGAAGTGATATTGATAGAAAGAACTTGTTATGAGCTGTTGTGAAGCAAGTTTTGGAACTCAAATTATAACATTTAGATATGAATAGGTACAAATATATATTTTTAACAATTAAAAACACTGAGAGCTCAACAAACTAGTGTATACACTTCAACTACCCACAGTAGAAAAAAAAGCTTAATTGTATTCAGGTTGAAAAATAGATTGGTAATTAAGTTTTAATACATAAATAGTTTTTTTTTTTAAATTAGGCAGGGTAGCGGTACCTTCTCATGCTGACTCACAATACGCCCTACTATCAGTTCACAATACGTCCTACCACCAGGTCCTTTGTTTTAATTGAATAAAACGAAAAGGCGAGAACAATTATATGTTAACCGGTTATAGGAGACCACTATAACCTGAATGCCGTCGCAGATACTAATAAAAGATTGAAGTTAGAAAAGTTTCGATACACCAACTGCTTATCTTTCGAATTGGGCCCCATTATTTTCATTATTTCTTTAGTCCAAAGACTTTTCGCAATGCGACTGTGTCGCTCTATGACATTATGTCACTGCAACATAAGTTATTTTTAAATTAACTTAAGTACCTACTATGAGAATAAGTATCGCTTCCTTTGATAGAGATTTGTCATCGTCTTACACCCCATAACATATTTTCTTTAAGGATATTTTGAAAATATTGCTTAAACATTTGGTAGCAGTCAAACATTTTTGTTCCTAAATACTCGTAGTTGGAGTTTGAAGTTTGCGTTTCGGTTTGATGGGTGGGGCAACCGTTGTAACTATACTGAGATCTTACAACTTATATCTCAAGGTGGGTGGCGTATGGGTATGGAGCCAAATGCAATTTTTAAAACTCCATACACTTTGTATTAGTAAAATGTTTGTGTACCGGGCTATTAATAGGTGCAATGAGACCTCCTCTGTTTGTGACAGAAAAAGATCTGGCCGTCCACGTAGTGTTCGTACGAAAAAGGTGGTCAAAGCAGTAAAGGAAAGAATTCGAAGAAATTCTGTCCGAAAGCAAAAGATTTTATCTCGAGAGATGAAGCACCTAGAACCATGTCGCGTATTTTAAAAGATGACTTAAGACTTGCAGCCATAAGAGACGTACTGGTCATTTCTTAACTGATAATTTAAAAGAGAATAGGGTGGTAAAATCGAAACTTTACAACTACTGAAGCGGTACGCAAAGGGAGGTCATAGAAAATTTTGGTTTACGGATGAGAAATTTTTTACAATTGAGCAACATTTTAACAAACAAAATGACCGTATTTATGCTCAAAGCTCTAAGGAAGCTTCCCAATTAGTCGATAGAGTGCAACGTGGGCACTATCCGATTTCAGTGATGGTTTGGTGGGGTATTAGCTATGAAGGAGTGACTGAGCCATACTTTTGTGAAAAAGGTATCAAAACATCGGCACAAGTGTATCAAGATACCATTCTTGAGAAGTGAAGCCCCTTAACAACACTATGCTCAATAATCAAGAATGGTCCTTCCAGCAAGACTCGACGCCAGGTCATAAAGCTCGGTCTACGCAGTCTTGGTTGGAAACGAACGTTTCGGACTTCATCAAAGTTGAAGACTGGCCGTCGTCTAGTCCCGATCTTAATCCGCTGGATTATGATTTATGGTCAGTTTTAGAGAGTACGGCTTGCTCTAAACGCTATGATAATTTGGAGTCCCTAAAACAATCCGTACGATTGGCAGTGAAAAATTTTCCCATGGAAAGAGTGCGTGCTTCTATTGATAACTGGCCTCACCGTTTAAAGGACTGTATTGCAGCCAATGGAGACCACTTCGAATAAGCTTTTAATACTTTAAATTATTTTATATTTATGTATTAAACTAACACACTGTAAAAGTAATAAATGTTATTTGCAATAGATTTTTTTTCCTTTGTCTCAGTATTTATGGCAAGACTAGGTATATTTTTTTTATTGCCTTTGTAGACCGACAAGCATACGGCCCACCTGATGGTAAGTGGTCACCGTCGCTCATGGACGTCAGCAATGCCAGGAGCAGAGCCAAGCCGCTGCCTACCATAATTATAGACTTTTTAACAATAAAAATTGTACAATATAAGTTTTTTAATTTAAAAACGACGACTATTTATCGTAGCAGGACATCCCATCACTAAATACGTCTATGGCCTTACGTTATATAAGCATAACGCTGTTTAATTTTATAATACAACTTTTTTAAGGCAACTTTCTAGAGTCACACAGCGCCATAGACCTATATAAGTATAGTGCCATAGACATATAGTACACAGCGCACATATATTATAACAATGGGCGGATTGTGTCGATATATAATGACAGCTGTGACAGGATTATGACGATTTTAATAATTCTGTCAATGAAGCAAAACAAAAAACAAATGATAAAAATAATACGATTTCTTTAAAATGTCATTTATTAGAATTCATTAAGTAGAACAATCAATGACGAAAAAAGTATAATTATGTATGTATTAAATGTTATAGTATTTTTAGAAGTGTTTTAAAAGTTGCATTCCAAATAATGACTGGAATAAGACTTACATAATGTTTGTGGTAGTCATAAAATTAATCTTAAACAGTTTAAAGTAAGTACTGTAAATTTTAGCTATTTTATTTCCGAAAATCATTAACCATTATTTTTACAAAAAAATATTTGTGGCGTAACGAATTATTTAATGAACGGTAGCGTTTCATCTCATTGAAAATATTTTTAATCAAACATATTTTTATATACTTAGACTAGACCTTTTTCGGTGACATTATCACTTCCAGAATTGCACACAAAAAATTGCATTCACTGCCGGCGAAGACTGTACGAAAAGTCCAGTTCCCGTAAAAATAATTTCCATTGAAGTACTTCTGCGATAGATCTTGAACATCTATTTTGAAAACATAATGTCCCTAAAAGAAGGTAGAGAAAAATCCACATTACTTTGTCTTTAATTATTCAACCATTAACAGAACTGTAATTTATTATTTTTCTTAAAAGGAAATGATATATTTGATTATCATTAAATTAGATTGGAAAACAATAATAATATATTTTATATAATTCTATATCATATATCTTAATCTATAATTCTATATCTTAGTACCTATTCCTGAAAATTGCTTTTGTACGATTCGGGTAACCGGTAATAATATAGATATTTCGCCATTAACAACAACAAATATTATATAATACGTATACTTTGCGTCGATCCTACTCAGTGGAATAAGGGAGAGAGGCAAAACAAGGTCTTCGAACCACCATCCATTGACTAAAAGTCAATCGGCCAAATTATTAGATCCAAAACATTATTTACATTTTTCAGTCGTACTTACCACTCACTCTGTAGCATTAAAATGTAACTTTTAGATCAAACTATAAAGTTATTTATTAAAATAAAAGGTAAATTCTGCCACCTACCTCGAGACCTGAGTTCTAAGGTCTTCAAGGTCAATTATTATAGTACAAAGGCAGCCCCACCTTTGGAACTGAAACGTATCACGGCAGAAATAGGCAGTGAGGTGGTTCCAATCCCTGCGAACTCACAAGACTTCCCACCACCTATAGGATGTCTTGTCTTGAGCGGTACAAGGGTTTTACTGTATTTTTCGGGTCGATGATGTGAGGATAACTGCCGAGCGTCATGACTGCGACGCTCACCAGTGACCAATCGTGGCGGCCGATGTTCGTCTTCTGTGAATGCATTTTCTCGCAGAGGCAGGTAGCGGACCGTGACCGAGAGCATTGCTTTTTTTTCCTACTTACCAGTTGCCGCCAAACTGTGACTCATAGGGATTTCACCCAATTCCTTGGCCGCTACGTTTTCTAAGCCCTTTCGTACGCTGGTTTGGAAATTTGTGAGGAATGCATCTTAGCTACTATACACACGTCGTGAAAAAAAGCAATCCGGTAACGGAGAACCCAATTCTCCGACTGAGTCGGGTATCTTGGGAATACTTGCAATACCTTCACCTTACCCAAGCCAGTCTTTATTCAATTCTGTCTTTTCTAAGACTCGTACGTCGATTGTTGAGAAACTTTGACATACCCCGCCTATCACTTCCGAAATAAAGTCGGAAGACTAAAAAAAATAAAATTAATACCAAGCCTAAATAAGTGAGATACAAACCTTTTTAACGGCACATTCTTTTGATACATTTAAATAAATTTTGAATAAAGATTGAACTAGATAGTGATCGCATGGCGTTTTCATCTGAAATCTCATCATTTCTTTACCGTTTGAAACTGCAACAATTCGACCCTGGAATATAGTTTAATTATTTATTGTTGGAAAAATAATACTTTCTACAACGAAATAAATTTCCTAGAATATAGTAATTCCTTAAATTAAGACATTTCTTACATTCGCTAAAGACAGTTAAGTTAAGAATAACCATTTTAAAATGACCAGATCACAGAAATCAGATTTTTAAATTGCAAACGAATACCACCGGTCATCTAAAGACATTAGGTAGAGTTTCGATTAAAATCAGTAGCGTATATTGCTTTCGACAGCAACGGACATTGTTGTTGTAATTGGTAGTTAATTACTCGTGGTAGAGCGTGTTAGAAGCCACATAGGTCGGTTCTAAAATCTTGCCTACTTCTACTGCGAAGCAGTCAGGCGTGTATTTACTATAGGCGGCCCTTGTACTGCGTCCCCTTACTATAACTGCTCAAAAATGATCTTAAATCGTAATTTAAGACGCCTACGCCTCGAGGCGTTCATTGACGATCGCGCCTTCGAAATCGTTGGCCGTCCAACCTCGACTCATTTCCTCATACATATTGGAGCACCGGTCATCGTCGTACTTGTCGATTATGATGAAGAGTTCGACGAGAAAACTAACCCTTAGACACAACCCACTGAGTTTCTCGCCGGATTATATCAGTGGGTCGCGATTATAGCCCAGTGGTACATTCTGCGAAGCACTGCTCTTGCTGAGGCCAGTGTTAGCCAGACGTAGTATAGCTGGAATAGCCCCTAATAGGCTACCAGCGAATAAGTTAAAAAAAAAGTCAGACGTTTTCGTTTCAAGGCTAAGACATCCATAACACGATTGAGCTTTCGACCAAATG